CCCCGCCTCCTCTGTGATGGTGTGTGGTGAAGCAGGAGATTGCTACGGGACGGTGTGTCTGATCTATTGAGTAGATACCATAGTACATGTAGACACAGCTTCACCTTCAGCTACAATAGCTGTCAAATACCCTGCCACTATTATACACCACTATTTTTAGCCTTCTTACACAATCCAAATACTTTTTCAGTGCATCGAAACCTGCAATTCCTGCTTTATTTTGTGCTCCCATTAACCTCTGTGGTGCTTGTCAAAACGTGCAGCAACAACTGACAAACCTGCTCGACACATAGACACTAGAAACCAATAAAAAAAACTGAATGAGAATTGGGCTGAGTACGTTTACTGGAAATCCCGCCCTTACACAGAAATCAGAAACACACACATGATTACATGACTAATATCTTTTCATACCAATATTGTGACTTCTTTTTACAATACAGACACAACAGTATGTTCACATCTTAATCTTGCAAAGAAAGATATTTTAGGTTCACAAGTCTATTCCAAATCTAAATCTGTAAATAATCACCTCTTCCTAAAGCATATGGATAGTGAACATGGGTCGGCTGTGGATCAGGAGACAGAACGGGTTGTCCACTAACCAGAAGGTCTGCGGTTCGATTTCTGTCTCCCCGATTCCGCATGACAAAGTGTCCTTGGATTGTTCAGATTCTGTACCCCAAATTTCTATTGTGATTCATGTGTGATAGAGAAAGTACTAAACATAGATAACTAAGAGATAATGACAAAACTGGACCGTGAAGAGCTTTTTAATGGTCAGCAAGATTAGAAGAGCTCTATGAAATACAGACTATTTTCTTATTCACTGAATATACAGTCCAAGTAGCCAATAATAACAATAATGATGCAAAAACAAAGCAGAGAGTAAACCTTATTTTCTCAGCAGCCATTTTGACACGAAACACAAATGTTACAAATCACACTAATGACACTTCACAGCCTCCATTACTGTGAAATTACCGGCTTCATGTTAAATTGACTGCTGTGAATAGCTGCTCTATAACTTATGTGGGTAAACAGGTCACAGCAGGTTTCTATATGATAAGAAAAAGGAAACCTGACTTATCTGTTGCCAGTAATCTTATCTTTTCTTAAATTCTCTCCAGCATTGCGCTGCGTTACAGCTTTTTAATTCTCTTTAACAACCAGTGTCGAGAAGTACTCAAACATTTTTTTTTTTTATCTTAGTCAAGGAAAAAAAATCATTGATTAACATATTTCCTCTTAGCTTTCATGGAATTAATTTGCCCGAAAACAAAATAAA